GATAAAAGTAAGTAAAAAGTAAAATTTTGATGAAATTCAAATTCACATCGGTATTTATTTTTTTGGTATTCAAAACTCCATCATTTTCAAAAAATTATAAATTCAAATTCTCTTAATAAGCCCAGCATCCTCATTGCCAGCTTCGACAAAAGCATATGGAAACATAACAAATTAATTTGAAGTATGATAGAAAAAGTTAAGTTAAAATTTTATAGTATTTTGATATATAAACTTATAGAAGATTTGATAAAATTAATTAATTTTAATTCATAAATGTTAGTTGATTATTATATTTATCTAAATGTATAAAAGGGTATCAAGGTAATTTGTTGTCATACAGCAGCAGCACAACAACTCAACAGTTATACTACCCAAACAAAATGTATTGATTTTTGTACAGCAACTTTAGAAAGCAACTTTCTGGACAACAACTTCACAACCTGCTTTACCGACAGCTGCAGCCGTCCCAAACGCACCCTTAGTCGTACTTGATTCTAAAGATGAGTTTAGAAAAATGTGAAGTGGAAGAGCTTGTTTGGATTTTAGTTTTGGAGCTTGTTTCATCCTCGCCACTGAGTTTTTTTATGGGAAATGGTGTGGGTAATTACGTCGAATATATCAAATGCTTTCTTGAAATATGAGAAGAATAAATAACATCAAAATTTCCTCCATTTCTTTTGTGTTTAGCTCAATTGAAGCGAAGGCTATGTTGAAGGTATGTTTGGCTTTGGAGATGCTTACATACTTTCTTTCTTAGAATTTGCTTCTTTCTTCTTTGCTTGTTAGAATCTTATGTGATAGGCAAAGGGCTCAAACGATGTCCAAGCTCGAAAAAAAAAAAAAGTACCTTAGTATTTTAATTGAATTTTTTTTATTATTTGCATGATTAAATATTAACTTGCTTTAATACAACTTTTCTAGGATTAGTGTCATAATTTATTAATCACTAACCAATAAAAATTACTAATAATCTTAATCAAAATGAATTAAAACACTTAATTCTTAATTAAACCATAATTAAGAATATTTTCGTTTTTATTGTAATTAGAATATTAGAATTTTTTTTTGTTTTTTATGCTATCCTATGATGGAAAACATCCAATGATCATGAATGAGTAGGTAGTGCTTGGGCATGACAAACCTTGTGTGCTAGCTACCCGGGTTCTTTGGTCTTTGGGATGCTGGTTTTTTCTCGGGTTAGGCCTTGGCTGCTCGGGTTTGGGTTGTGTTCTTTGGGAGCTACTTGGTTCTAGCTCATAAATGCTTGAGCTGATGTTTAGCTCATTATTATGAAAAGTTATTCCTCTTGTTAGCTCATTATGTGGAGTGAAATTTTGCCTTTTCCTTTCTCTATGACTCTTCAGTTTTTCCCCTCTTGGTTCTCCTTCCCGTGGCCTGTTCCGGTCCCCCTGGTTGCTGGTTTCGATCCCTTGTGCTGCCCCTTCGGTTCCTCCCATGGCTACCATGGCTACTTGTCATGTGGATGCTTTTTTCGATTTTCTACATAGCCTTTTCGGGTGTTGTTCTGGAATAAATTTTGGCTTTCTATTTCCCCTTACCTGATTGGTTCAATTGGAGATGGAATGGTTGTTGGCTGCCCCCTTTTCCCTTATAAATTGGAGATGTTTTGAAGCATAAAAGGTTGTTGAATACTTGAGCAAAATCTCTATAAAACCTGAGGGTTTATTCTTCCTTGGAAAAGCTTGAGAGCTTGTTCCATTTCCCTCTTCCCCCTCTCTATTTCTTCTTAGGCTTCTAACCTCTTCTTCTCTCCACAAGTTCCACTCCACTTATATCCTTCTTCTTGAACTATTGGAGGTGTTTGTTGGTTGACTTGGTGACATTTGCTAGAAGAGTTTTGTTGGACGTTGGACCTTGTAGTTGTGGTGGACCCTTGGTTTGCAAGCCCTTTTGCACTTATCTTATTTTCCTTACTTTTTATTGCATGTAAGGAAACCGCTTGTCGGTTGTTCTGAGGATAGTGTTTTCTAATTTTAATTTTGTTTTGTTTTTTTTTTTTGCTTTCGTTTGCTTTGGTGTTTGTTTGGATGTCAGCATTCTAGTTTGAATTGAGTTTTGTTCTACTAGTCCTGGTGTTCTCCTCTTTTGGCTCTTTCTTTCTAGTTTGCCTGCATCAGAAGGGATGACTTCCACATGAACAACCTTAGTAGACCCCTGTGATGGGTTAGCTAAGTATGCATCAGGAATACTCATCCTACCAAATTTTTACTCATTTTCAACCCAATCTATAAAGACAACAATCTTATAGAGCATGACCCAACATCCTATGATAAGGGCAATAGTTTGGCTCATTACTCTTATCAACCTCTGTTGGTCTTTTGGGTTTGGGGAGTTGAAAATTGTCATCATTAACCAAGGACTTAAATATTTTCTTTGTAGCATCTCTCCTAAAAGAGTATTTTTTTATTGATATTTTCTGTCAATCCCCTAGAATCAAGCTTTTTGACTGCTCTCTCCTTATCCTTTCTAGGTTGGTGCTCTGAAATCTTTCTTGGTTTTCGATGCTTAGTAATTTGAATTTGTTTTCCCTTTTGAAGAGATAATGTTAACACACTGCCTTTTCTTTCAACTATTTTCTTTTTGAATTTCTTGAATTGGTCACCATTACTATTATCTTTAAGGACAACAGAGTTGCTTCAAACTGAAGGATAGATGCCTTACTAAGCAATTTTTAAAACGTCTTAATAGTGAACCCCTTAAGAATGAGTGTTGTTAGACCATGAATATTCCTTAGTAAGATTTCTATATAATGTTGTTCGTAGAGTTGTGGTTCATATTTTAGGCTAACATTTCTCCACCTAAGAATGTAATCAACTAACGCCTCATTTGATTTTTGTTTCTCCACTACATGGTCTCCCACAATAATGTGATGTTGGGCTCCAGCAAACCTCTTCACAAACAAAAGACTCCAACTCTGCAAAAGTCTTTACCGAGCCATATGGTAAACAAACTGCCTGAAGATAAGAGCATCACTGCCACCAATATTACAATACCCAGCTTTGAAATGAGCTAAATGATGACATGGGTTTTCCACACCTGAAGATAAACTATTTCCTTGGCCTTTTCTGCACTAGTGGAAGGTTTATCTGTTGAGTTTAGGGCTTTTTGGGGACCCAAAAGATGGGTTGAAAGGGCACTTATGGCAGAAGCCATATAATCCAGTCTCTTAGTCATATCATTAAGATGAGCATCCTTGTTTTTTAACTGTTGAAGCAAAGCACGGATCTGGGAATTTTCACTCCCTTCTTCTTCCACTTCCAACAAATCATTCGTATGAGGGTATCCTATAAGAGAGGACCCTCTTCTGCTATATTGGAGAATATAGATATCCTCCTCATCCATAAGATCATTCTCATCAAGATCAAAATTCTCTATCAATTTTTTTTGTGATTCTCTTCCTCCTTTTACCTCTTCTCATCCTCATCAATCTTCTTAAGGTTATCATTCAAATACTCCATCATTTCTTCAATGGATTTGCATGTTGAAGGGTTGACATGGGAAGGGTGATACTCTTCATAACTATTGACTTCTATGGTTGCTTTCCCTTTGTCATTGGGCTAAACATGGGTAGGACAGGAAGAGTGTACAACTGATGGAGCCACCACCTTGGGTCTCCATTTTTTCTTTACCCCAGATGAGGTATGGGATTTTTGGCGTCCCACATTTACCTCATCTATAGTTAGAGTCTGAATGCGACCCCCAGAGCATAGCTCATTATGGCGAGTAGGATGTCTGACTTCTTTTGGGGACCTCCTAAACCTATTGGGTACATCAGATCTAGTATAACTGGAATAGGCGGTCCGAGGGACCACTTGGCAATCAGGGTGATAACCCTTTGGTCTGTCATAGACCTCAAGTGGTGGTATTGAGTAATCAACCAGAACTATCTGCTCACTAACTGATCTCTCCTGACGAGGCCTGGAACTATATGCTCACTAACATGAGCTTTACAAGCAACAATGAAAATTATTTGTTGGTTCGTATGCTCAAAAAATGAAATGAGGGCTTAGAGTTTGGTCCTAAGCCCCAAGGATTCATGCAATAACATATTCAGAACCTTGAGGATGCTCCGAATATCAAGCATAAGAGAGATAATTTGTAATTTGGGAATTACAAATCAAGAGTCAATCATCGAGTTTTGTACTCAATGAAGTAAGATCATCTACCTATGTTAGGTTAGGCAAATGAGATAGGATAGGATTAGAATCCTAAGCCTAAGGAGGACATTTATTCATTGATGCTGTGTCTCAACGGATAATAAAAAAAACCTAGAATTTGGCCCTAAGCTCTAAGATCTTTATATAATGACATGCTAGAACTTTAAAGTATTCCAAGTCATCATATATGAAACGAGAAAAGCTTGCTTATTGATTTTATATCAATAAATAACATGGCATGAATCTAGGATTTTGATCCTAAGTTAAAAGGTGTTTGGAGCTTTGAGACGCTCTAAACCATCATGCATGAGGAGAAGGTTTTTGGAGCCTTGAGACGCTCCAAACCATCATGCATGAGGAGGCTCTACTAGAGATCTCTCAATGCATGCTAGACCTCATACAACACAAGAATTAGAGCTTCGAGGATGCCCCAAGTATCATGCATGAAAGAGGTGTAAGGTTCATTTATTGATCTTGTGTCATCAACAAATGAAAAGGGAGGTAATGATTGGTTGTAGCTCCTAAAGTAGAGCTAAAATTCACAATCTAACATTGGACCCTTAAGAAGGCTCCAAACATCATGTATGAAGAGGAATTACATAGCAAGAAGAGTTCCTTATAGTTCGAATGAATGTTTTGGATTCATGTGGAGAGGGTGATGATTGTTTATCGATAGCATGCCTCAATAAACAACATCAAACAAGTTTAGGATTTGGCCCAAAAATTTGTTATTGCTTTCTTTAGGCTCTTTAGAAGTTATTTGGGAAGCCTCTATGTGAGTTTGGAAAGAACCGAGCAAGGATATTATTTGTGGACTTTGTATTCCAACAAAAAAGATACGAGACCTCCGGATTTGGCTCCAAGCTCAAGGATTTATGGCATGACCCACCTGTATAGGATTTTTAGGGAATTCCAAAATATCATGCAAGAGGATTGGTGGTAACTCCCAAGGGATGCGAGGGAGTCATGCAATAATAAATTTGGAGTTTATGGTCACTTCAAATCATCATTCATGAGGAAAAAGATAGCTTATTAATTTTGTATCAACAAGAAAAAATCCATGAACCTAGGATTTTGGTCCTAAATCAAAATGATTCATGCAATAAAGTGTTTGGAGCCTTGAGATGCTCCAAACCATCATACATGAGGAAGAGGAGACTCTACTAGAGGGTTCCCAATACATTGAAATGATTCCTAAATCACTTTTGGCATGATTAGGAGATTTGGATATGAGTGATTTGCTCTATGACTTTGACTTTGGAAGAAACTTGTGGCGTTATCTAAAGAACATAGAGGCATGTAAGCTAATCACCACTTGAATGCTTATGGTTAGGCTCTAAAGATCAATTTACTATGATCTAAAGAAATCCTAAAGATGAGTACATGAAGGAGGATTGTTTGTTAATTTTGTATCAACATGCACAATGGTATGAACCTAGGATTGTGATCCTAAGTTAAAATGATTCATGCACTCTAATAATTGGAGCCTTGAGGACGCTCCAACTACCATGCATGAGGGACATCAGTGAAAGACCCATAATGTGCATCCATTCAGGATGCAAATGATGCAATTCTATCCATGCAAATTAATTTGACTAAGCATGCCAACATTTAGGTTGGGTGCTTTTGCAAGTTGCTAAATTCTCTAAATTTAGATAGATGTCAAGGATGATTTCAATCAATTTACTCATTATGGGATTTAAAACATGAACCATGAATGCTCACGAAAGACCCCACTACTTATAAGCTTTATAAATTAATTGAAACACATACTTAGACATTTAGCAAATTGGGAGAAAATGACATGTAGCTATGCAAACCTCCTCTATCTTTAAGTTAGTTTTGGCATAACTTGTGATTTGCTAAGTAATGTATGCTACATAATGTGAAACCTTACACATTGTAATTCAAAATTTTATAAAATGACATCATCTAGCCTAATGGTTTGATCATAGGTGATGGAGAAGATGCATGAACAAAATCATACAATTTGGAAGGTGTTGGACACCAATCCAACAACTCCACCTGCAATGACATCTTCTCTAGACTCTCACATGAGAGCCAACAAATGGAGATCATTAGATTTCCACTATTTACCTTGTGTAAAGTCCCCGAACGGTGCCCCGTTGTTTAGTGAAAAGATAACTTTCGGTATCCCCTGCTCTGGGAATCTGCTTTCCTATTGCCTAAGATCCTAATCCCAAAAAGAGTCTTACCATCTGAATCTGCAGAGGAAGAGACGAGCCTTGACTCCGCCGAATTTGGCAATTCGACTAGTGGCTCGTAATTGGGCCGACGAAACTCAGCCTAGCTGCGAATTGAATGAAAGCGAGCGACTTGCTTAGTTTCAAGCAAAAACAAGAATTATTGTGTTCCAAGTTTTATCAATTTTTAGCAGGTTAAGCAATAGAAGAATCGGTCTAATCTAGGGTCAACCACAATCGGAGTCATAAGGAAAGTACTAGTTCACAGAGAACACCCACCGATCAATTTCTTGATCTTTCACAACAGGTAATGTCAGACGATAGTTCAAAAAGAGATTCCAAATGCTAGTCAGCATAAGAGAAAGTAGAATGACTTGGGATTGATTCTTGGATATTGAACTCTGTCTCCAGAAAACAAGTTTATAATCTTCTTTCCTTGTACAGAGCCCTCGCTCCCCTAGAATTGAGTCTCTTTGGAGAGTGAGCAAGCATGCTCTTCTGAATGTGGTTCAACATCCAGGGTGCTCTATATGTCAATACCATATTTTAGTCTTTCGGGAACTCATCCCAACAAGAAAGTCATTAATTATTACAAATACAAAATAAAAGACGATTTCACAAAAATGTTGCGGAGATAGGATTTGAATCTGTGACCTCAAGGTTATGAGCCTTACGAGCTACCAAACTACTCTACTATGTGCTGAACAATTGGGAACTGATCGACGAAGAAAGATTGGATATGCCCCTCTACCATATATAAATGGAAGTCTATTTATATAAAAAGGTAAAGGGCCCCTTATATTCTATAATTCATAGATTATAGATATCTATCCAAATAGGAAACAAGATATATCCAAATAGGAAGCTTGATCTTATTGTGCTTGGTAACATACTTCACTAGATAAAGATCTTTCCCGCATGCGGGAAAAACTAACACACATAAAAACAATCCAACTCAATCTAATATAAATACTTTGGGGGCAGTTAGATAACCAGTTGGTTCGAGCTACTTTCTTTCTCTCACTTTGCTCGAGCCTATCTCCTCTCCTTCTATATCTTGGATCATTGCTTGCCCTACCCTCATCCTCCTTTAAGGAGGAAAACGCATAGTTTATATTTTATCCCAGATCCCCTGTTTCAACCAATTAACAAATGGAATATGTTTCTTCATGTTCGATTCAACACCACTTCTCCTTATTCGACAAAGAAGAAATGCAAAGAAAGATAAGACAGGATTTATTAGCGGATCAATACTAGTAGCATGTTAAGCAACATTAGAATCGATCTAATATAAAGTCAACCATAGTGAGAGTCATAAGGAAAGTACCAATTGGACAGGGAGCACCCACCAGTCAATTTCTTAATCTTTCACAGTGACGGAGCACTCAAGTATATGTTGAATAAGTAGCTTTCATTTTCTATTAGTTGCAAACAGGCGTTTACATGAGATTAGTTGAGTATGCTTGCATTTGTTGTCTGCTATAAGAGAAAGATAGCATTTTGTTTTCGAAAAACTATGTATCGTTCTCGGCCTGGAAGATCGATTCGCTTCTGGTATGAGAAGTTTCGAAACTATTGTTCTGTACTAAGAAAGACTTTCACCATGGCCATTTTACATGTGTTTATGTGATCTCAAACATTTAATATCAGAAATTAGAACTATTTCTTTTTTTTTCTTGTCTTTTGTGCTTTGTTCAATTTGATTCCTGATTTTGATTGTCTTATCAAAAAGATCTTTCATTCTTTTTTCTATTAGTGAATAATTTAACCAATCCATCGTTCGATTTAGAATGGACAATTCACGAAGAAGCTTATTATTTCTTTTGATTTTTTTTTTTTCGTTTGCTTCATATACTTTTCTTTCCTTAATTCAAATAAGAAAATTGGATTTACATTCTCCAGTTTTTTCATTATTAGTTTGATAATTTGAACAACCCCTTTAGCGTTTTCTTTTCTACTTTTTAGAAAGGACTATATTCCTCTTGAAATCAAGGAGCTGGACTTCTTCTTCCTTACTCGATCACAAGTGGAATCACACTAAGCCAAAGCCAAACCAGGGGACTGGGAGAGATAAGTTACGGGGAACCAATGTCACCAACTGAACTAGCTGTCTCGGAGCTTTGAATAGATAGAGACATGCTCTTCTTGCAGCGCAAGAGTGTATTCGATAAAAGAGCTAACAATCAATGACTTTCTTCCCACCCAAAATTCGTAGTAAGCCGAGTTCTTGCTCCATTTCCTTTGCTTCGGGGACAAAGGTTAACCACAGAACAAGACATCCCTGGCTTCTTGTTGCGAACGGATCCTCAATGAAGTAGTGTTGGTCCCCTTCGATCAAGTACTTTGCTTGTGACTGCTATTACCTACCGTAGGACCTCTGTTCCCAAAGCGAAGGAAGAGGAGCATGAACAAAAGGTTGTCCTCTCCTGGCCCAACAGTTTCGGGTTTCATGTCTAATTGACCAAGTGGTACTGATAGTATCTTGTACCTGAACCGATGGCTCACTTTTTCTAAGGAATGGGGGAGAGGACCAAAACATGCAACTGAAAGACTTTAC